ATGTTGCCTTGAATGCTGGAGGCGTCTCCACTCTCTTCCACGCGTTTCCATCTGGCCACAGAATTTGCGCAGAACCATCCTGTAACGTGGATGCAGTTCCAACGAGTGACGATGGCCCCCCTTTGGGTGAGAAATCAAATGTAATCGTAGCCATGCCTACTCCGCTGCATGTTCCCTGCAGCGTCCACCAAGTCTTACCATCATCCGAACCCACCATCTTCAAGACATGCTTCTCGCTCCCTACACCCTCGGCAACGTACCTCATGCCAGCAAAGGAGCCCGGGCCGATGTAGTGATTGGAATCGATGTATGCGCCATGGTGCGGCACCCCCTCTACACTTCCCGAGCCGCAGATGCACAACAAGAACATGCGATTCATTGCGTCGGAGTGCCAGTGTCAAACAAACAACATGAAAAAACTGCTGCCTAGCTCGACCTGCTGAGCCGAACGGCGTTCGCCAAACTGCCGAGGAGATGGAGGGGGGAGAGCATAATTCGCAAGGGGAGCGAGGCGGAAGGTGACTGGGCCCTGGCAACTCTGGAGGGTCTGCGCCCTCCTGGCACCCCTGCAGCCTAGGTCAGAACTCAACAGGCGCATGCTGACGTGGCGAACCTGAGGACTTCACCTTTCAGCCGACTGAAAACCGAGGAAAGGTTACGCCGAGTCTCTTGATGAGCGTCGGGGGGGCGTCACCCCCGCTGACAGCCCCACATCGACCCCCGTCGCGGGCAGTCACCGCGCGCCGAAGGCGCTCCGACCCCCGTCGCGGCGCGAGGACGAGGCGAGGCTGACCCCCGTCGGGGGGTACCCCTCCACGCTTATTAAGACACCCAGAATATGTTGTCTCCAAGAGCGAGGAGGACCGCAAAACGCATCTCAGCGCGCGTTGGATTGCTCCGTGCCGTGCAGCGACGGGGACTCGTCGGACAAAAAGGGCGGCGACAAAAGGAGAGCGCAATGCTGCAGTGTGACGAAGAGATGTGAAGCCTGTGTGACGGAGTGTGCTCAGGAAAAGATGATGGAAGATGTTAGGGAAACGAACGAACTCTAGATACACCGACGCTTTTCCCGACCCTGAGCTGAAATTCGCATAGGAACGCGGATTCTGGTGTATACGGGATCCAGGTGTATACATTGTTCGTTGTTTCCCTTGGGAAGCGAGGGAAAAATATACACCACACCACCCCGACGTCGTCCCTGACCCTTCCCAAGTCGTGGGATTGAAAACCGGCCCGCCACTGCTCGTGTATATGTTCCAATTTCCGGGATGTGCCCCCGCCCCTGCCGCGGAAGCCGGAAGAATGATGGCGGAGCTGCGCTGAACTTGTGACCTGACTTCCGCACGGTGCCCTGGGGAGCGAGCCGGAGGCCGCGCTCCGCATCCCCCCCCCGCCCCTGCCCCTGCTCGCAACGGCCGGGAGGGGGGACGGAACCGCCCTACATGCACCACGCGCGCGCCTCCCGCACAGGATACCGACGCCCTCCGTGGCGCGACAGGCCACGGGGGGCACATCGCGTGGGGGAATCGACGGTGGCAGGAAAGCGGTCCCGAAGGGGGCCCCACATGGGGTCCCTAAACTGTCACCGCGGGCTCAGACGGAGCACGAAGGATGCACGAGGGGTGCGCGTCTCTTCTGCTCCCGGAAACTCCCACCCCCCACCAATAACGACTGGCCGACTCCTGCTCTCGTGGCATGGGCCTGTGCAGAAGGATACCCAGCACAATAATCCACGAGTTGAAGAAAGAGAGAGGAGTGCCCGGGACGCAGAGAGAGAGGAAGCGAGAATAGGAGAGGGGGGGAGAGAAGAAACCGAGGGAGAGAGAGGCAGAGAGTCAGAGAGGGAGCAACAACATATAGCGATGCACGCACGCACGCTAACACATACATATCTACATGCATAGATCTATGTGTGAATATCCACTTTTATACACAACTATGTACACATACATCGTATCATACGCACCTCTCCGAGGGAAGAGTTCTTCGAGGCGATTAATTATCGTCCCGTCCCAGATTGTTCTGGCCGTTTCGCTCGGGACACCCTCGCAATTCTGAACATCGGACGCGCCCCTCACGCAGATCGCGACGCCACGGTCCCAAAACACTGCCTTGTTTTATTACAAGTTGTAACATAAAGTCTGCAAGAACACGATGGAATTCAATCCTGTTGAGTCCAATGTTTCGAAACTTGCAGTTTCGCGTGAGACATCCTCCACACATGCCTCAACGCGATGTTCTTTTGATCACTGCAATTTCGCCGACGAAATCCTCCCAACATCGAGCCCCGACATACAAAGCGTACAAACACATGACGCACACATGCCCCACAAATCCGCCGACCCCTTGTGGGTCTCTAGGCGTGTGAAATACTTCCCCCCCCCCAAAGTCCCCCCCCAAGGACCCCAAACCGGCGATTTGACCCCACCCCCCCCGGCCCGGGACGAGCGACTCACTTGCTTTTTTGGGCCCAAAAGGAGCTCAAGACGGGCCAAGAAGGTCCCAAGACGCCTCCAAGACGGCCCACGAGGGCCCCGAGACGCCACACGAGCGCTCCAAGACGCCCAAGATGGTCCCATGACGAGCCAAGAGCCTCAGAAGGGCCTACGAGCTGAAAATTGTGGAATTCCTATAGGAAAACGTACATTTGATAATATACGACTTGTCGGCCTTCACGGCGTTGAAGACCGTCCAAGAGCACCCCAAGACCGCCCCAAGACGGCCCAAGAGGCCCCCAAGAGGCGCCCAAGTCGGCTCCAGAGGGCGCCAAGACGGCCCAATAGGCCCCCAAGACTACCCAACAGGGCCCCAAGACGGCCCCACGAGGGGCCCAAGAAGGGAAGCTTGAACCGACAATCCGAGCCTTCCGCCCCAAGACGGCCCCAGAAGACCCAAAGAGGCCCCAGGAGGCCCCCAAAACGCCTCCAAGAAGCCCCGAAAGGCCCCCAAGAGGGCCCCAAACGGTCCCAAAACGGCCCCCAAGAGGCTTCGAAACTGCCTCCAGAAGTCCCGCGAGAAGCCCCTCGCCCATTCTTCCTCTTCCTCCCTCGCCTCATCCTCATCCTCGTCGATTATTTTCCCCCCGTCCTTCATTTCCTCCGTGTCCCCCTCCTCCTCCTCCTCCTCACCGTCCTTGTCAACCTCGGCCCCCCAGTGGCTTCATGTTTTCCAGAGGTCCCCGAAAGGCGTGCCGCGAAATCGCTATACACATACAAGAAGTTCTCACCCATAGACCATAACTCAGAGCCTCATCTCAATGTCCCCCTCCTCCTCGTCATCCTCCACCCTCTCCACGTTTCCCTCCTCCTCGTCCCCCTCCTCTTGTTCCTGGTCCGCTTCACCTCGTCATATTCGATGATTCGCCCCCCCCTATCCTCCGCCTCATCTCCATTCTCCTGTCTCCGTCCTCCTTTTTCTCACCAGTACGTGTGCCCGATTCGACATCATTTGCATGTCTTGCACTTCAGGGTGCCTTTATTGGCGTCTCGCGGGACATTGTGCGTCATGATGCCCTCAGGCCGCCACACAGAGCTTCCAAAAGACCCCCCCCCCCGAAACCCGAACTTCGCCCCCCGACGAGAAAAAACAAGGGGTCGGCGGATGTGGCGTAAGCCTGAAGAATCGCACACCCACGAACACAACACACATCGCAGACATACAACACACAGCACACATAGCACAAACACACACTCTCCTCACACAGCACACACAACCTGCACATGACTTTGTATGAGCCTGGGCACGCACGGGCTACTTGTCTGTCTATTCATGTTTCTCCATCTGTCTACACACAAACATATATTTGTAACACATATAAGTATATGTATATATGGGAGAGAGAGGGAGAGAGAGAGAGAGAAAGAGAGAGAACGCGATAGATCAGAAATAACGGCAGGAATAAAGAAAGAGAAATATATAAATTACAAACAAGCAAACTAACAAACAACAAACCAAAACGCGCCAGCATGGGGAACCGAAGAAAACGGGGGGATCCACCCTCAACTCCCCCACCTGGCCGACCGCGTTCCGAAGCCCGTCCCCCTGAAAGCTACCCCCCGATCCTTCCCACTAGCTTCCCGTGTCCCCCGACCGTGAGCGCCCCTCCTTTTTCCCCTGCGGCCCCTGCAAGCTACCCTCACCCGCTCTTTGGCCTCCAAGCCCGACGCCTACCCCCCTCCCCCCTTTTTTACCCCGCGGCCTCCACAAGCTATCCCCGACCCCTTTTTCACCTTCACATCCTGAAGCTCCCCCCCCTCTTGCCGCGCTCCGGACGCTTTGGCTCCCATGCTGCGCCCTTCGCCTGCCTCTCTTTTTCTTCGCCCCGCGGACCTCCCCCCACGGACCCCCCCCCAGCCCGAAGCGATACCATGCTACTCTACTCGTCACACGGCACTGCCTGGGAGGAGGCAACACAAAATCCCAGCAAGGGACCCAACCATCTGCGATTGTGAGTTGTGAGTGCCGTCGTTGTGGGTATCGCCTTCGGTGGATCTCCGTAATTAAGGGGCAACGAAGCGTGTGAAAAATGTGGGGACATGGGGCGGGGCCGCCAGGTAAAGGGAGGGGCACGAATCGGTCCCGGCTCGAGGTGCCCCCAGCTTTTCGCGAAGTTTAACCCCCCCTGGGGCCTGGGGCCGTCTGGGACTCGTGAGGGGCTCTCTGGGGGCCACTGGGGCCTCCGTGGAACAGCTCGGGACACCTTGGGCCCAGGCCCCTGGCGCACGAAAGAGGTCAGGGCGAGAATGATGTCATGACAAGATTGGCTCAGGGTACGCTGCAGGACTCCCAGAGTATCTAGCGGAGCAGCCGGTGCGTAACATTAATTAGGAAAGATGGGGACTTCTGAAGCTTGGGAAATCCTGGAACGTATCATTGTCATGACCTCTTGCTCCTCTGAACGGTGGAAGGCCGCCCTGGCGCGCAAGGCCCGAGGCCCCAAGGGCGCGCCACTGGTCCGACCAGGCGCCGCAGCTCCAGATCCCACGGGGTGGCGGCGGCCGTCAGATGATGCACCTCACGCCAGGGCGGGCTTCGCGCATGGCCTTGCCGTCTGAGAGAATCGGATCGGACGACTGGAGGGTATGGCCGAGGGGGAGTTGGCGAATCTGCTGCGTGCCGCCGATTTCCCCGGCGCCTGCCAGCGCCAAGGGGCGGCCGTCCATCAAGGAAAACGCCTGGCGGCGGGCCTGCAATCAGCTGCCCGCAACAGATTTCGTGACGGCCCCTCCTTTCCCAATCCACCCCCTTCGTCTGACCCGAGAAGAATAAACCGTTGTACAAGATCGGCTTCGGCAGGGTGCCCTCCTGGTGCCTCTGCAGGAGCTCGGCTATGATCTTCGAGGACCTATCCGGGTCCACAAAGTGGTGGGCGGTATAGAACGCCAGAGCCGCTCCCTTCGGATGGTAGCGCGGATCGCTGACGATCTGGGACTTCGACGCCCCGCAGCTTCGCGAGGCGTTCGCCCTCAGGAGGCGGTAAAAGTCCCTGGGGTCGACATTGTCATACTTGCACCACTGCTTGTACCCCAGGTCGTTCCAGGTGCCGACGTTAGGTCCTCATCAGAACAGCAAGCGGCACAAAAGCATAATCTTTCGCAGGTCCGCGCCAGGGGGGCGCGCCAGGGCCGCTCTGCGCCGAAAGCGCGGCAGGGCGGCGCTGAGCACCCTTGGCGCGCGAAGCGCGCCACTGAAGCTCGGCGCCGACACCCAAAAGATACCCGCGCGGACCAACGACAATTGAGGCTTGAGCCGTTTGTTCCCCCTCTGGGCCTCTGGGAGGTTCCCCACACGCAGTGCGGTGTTCGGCCGGCCCGGATGCGCGGGGAGCGTCTCGTCGCGCAGGTGGCGCAGGAGCCACCGGCCAAGCCACGGCAGGGCCCAAAACGTCCATGTCGGGTGCGCGTGGCCCCAGCGAAGAGGCACGTCCGAGCAATTCATCCGCCATCAGGCACCCTGCTCGCCCTCGGGAGGTGAAGATGGGTCGGGTTGGATGAAAGGCAGTGATAGCAAAGGGGGGGGTGAAGACTCAACTGCGCGCAACTTTTTATTTTCTTTCAGCGCCTCCCAGTCACCACAGAGGCGGCCGCGTATCGAGGGCAGCGCTCTGCGATGGAGCCGAAACCAACTGCACGCAACAGATCTCGTGACTCCCCCACTGTCACTATCCCCTCCTTTCCCAGACATCCGACGTCGTGTGTTTTTCAACATGTGGCTCCCCAGAGATCCGGACCTCTTCCTGGGAAGCGGCTTTATATCCTGGGTCGCGTGTTGACGGTCCGGGGGCCCGGTAAGAAGGGCCCCCCCCCCAGAAGAGTAAACCACCCAAACACCTGGCTTCGTTACTCTTGCATTCCTGTCCACGACGCCAGGACGTCATGGCTCATCAGACCCGCATGGGGCTCTCGCGGTGCTTCTCCTCGTCCTGAGGCCACATGGGCAGCTGCTCGTTCGTCAGGAAGTACACGGGCAAAATCGGCATCGGGTAGTCTTGGAAGCTCTCCCCGGCCGCACGGCGGAAGAGCGCGTCCACGCCTGGCGCGACGAACTGGTCCGAGTCGAGCTGGATGCCCGTGCGCACCCGCGCGACCAGCATGGCCCTGTACGTGTTGAAGCAGAAGCGCCGCTTAGGCAGGTTGGGCAGGGGTGCGGCGTGGAGCACCACCAGCCGAGGGAACTCCTTTGGATCCCAGACCAGCGGCGCCACCATGCCAAAGTGAACAACGACGACGGGCTTCGTGGCGAACAGGTGGACGGAGGGGATGAGATGATAGTTCATCTTGGCGTAATTCCATGCTGTCCGTCGGGGCCGCGCCCACAAAGTTTACGAACGCGTCGTCCAGCCAGCCGTCCTTGTCGTACAGGCGCTGGTAGTTGTCTGCCGGCGACGGGTCGACCCACGCTCTGGCCAGGCGGCGCAGCTGCGCCTCGTTCAGAGCCCGCGGGCCCGCAGGCCCGTCAGGCTGATCGGAAGTGCACATGCCCTCCGTGGCGCGCCACTGCTCGCGGCCCCAAGGCCCGCTGACCCTGCCGGCCTCGAGCACCTCGCAGGAGACCGCCAGCTGGGCGCCCGGCGGCGGCGCCCCGAGCGGCACAGAGCCTGGCGAGACGCGCTGCTGGTAGAACTCGGATCCGGGCTGCACCGCGCGCTCTCCTGGGCGGGGGCCTCCTTCCAGGTGTCGCCGTTGCCCCAGCGGATCCGGCCGGGGCACGCGCAGCACATCGACTCTCCCGCGCAGTACGCCCAGATCTCCTCGCCTGATTCATTACGAATGGAACCCTGACCCTCTGGGAGGGGACCTAAGTTAGGCGGACCAGAGACGTCATGGATTGGGGGTCTCCTTGTCCTGTGGACGTCTCAAAACAAACCGACCAGATATCATAGCCCTCATACAAAAGATAGGGACCTCAGTGAAGCCACGTATTCACTCTCTCATTCGGGTTGGGGCTTCTTCTGCCCTCGATGATCGCCGCTCGCGCCCTCCGCCACGGAGGGCGCGGCCGCAGGCCCCGGCGCAGCGTCGGCAGCAGCAGGCGCTGCCCCGGCTGCCACGCGGGCGGCGGCTGGCGCCGCTGCGTTGCGCGCCACTCGGCCCCGGGCGGCCACGCCGGCGCTGCGCCACTCGGCCCCGCGGCTGGCCCCGGACCGTCGGGCTCTGGCCGGGGGGGCGTCGCCTGGCTGCCAGGCGAGGGGCCGGCCGTCGGGGGGGAGCCCCGACTGCGCCAGCAGCACGTGCCGCAGAGCGGCCAGCACCGCCGCCGCGCCAGCAGCGCCGAGGGCTCTGCCCGCGCCAGAGCGCGGGCCTCCTCGCCCTGGCGGGGGCCATGCCGCCGCGGCCACATGCCACTACACGGCGCGGCGCCGAGGCACATGCGCAGGCGCCTGGGCCGGAGTGGCTATATCCGGAGGGGCGGGGCGGGATCTCCGATCCGGGCAATTTCGCCCACCCTCGGGTCACGGGACCGTCACAGATCGATCCGGCTCTTATGATGGCGCGAGATTATGGGGTCTAGGGTTCCGTTGTTCCGGTCTTGATTTTTAACGATGCTTCAACTTTTCGCGCCGTCGGATCTCATGGAACCAAAGGGCGGGCCCAATGGGATCCCTGTCCAAAGGCAGCCAGAGACATCGCTGAGTTATCCTGGGCCCCGGGCGCCCGACTGGGGAGGAACCGAGACGGCGGACAGGAAAAATAGGGGCTGGAGATCATCATAGTCCGACATGTGGCACGGCTGCATTCCAGCTCAAAGTTAAACCGACGCATTCACAACACGTCATCCTAGATCCAGATTGGGTGTATACCACGGGAATGGTTGGTAAGCCCCTCGTCTTACCCAAAACCCTGATCTGCTGAGATGTCCCAAAGCATCCCCGACCTCACGCAAAGCCAACACTTCTTATTACGGGTCTTAGCCGGCTGTAATGTGTCTTATGAGGCTGGGCCACGGCCAACAAACAAAAGTTTCCTGAAGACCCCCCACGCACCCTCCTCCAGATTTCTGATTCCTGAAAACTGCACAACCGTACGGACGAAGCCAACCCACCCCTGCTCCGCAGGACTGGTGTGTGAAGTCGCGCCGCTGACTGCAACCGGGGGCTACCCAAGGAGGAGAGGGAGAACGAGGAAGGGCACGACATGGGAGGACACCCGCAGAAAAGGAGGGGGAGGAGACGAGGAGGAGGGGGCAACAGACAAGACAAGGAGTGGAAAAACAGAAAAAGGAGTCCCGGCAACCTGATGAACCGCCTCGCACTCCCCCCCCAATCACACCCTCCACCTCCCATTCTCCGTCGTCCGCCCCCTTCCCTTTTACTTCCCTTCTGCCTGCCTTTCTCTCTCTCTCTCGCCTCCTCCGGGCAGGCACAGCAGCCCGTGGCCAAGCGAATGCGGGCCGTGCCGCGACTGATCACTTTTACAAAGCGGTGTGGTCAAGGAGGCCCACGTTTACAGCAGGGGTGCACCAGAGTCACCGCAGAGCTACTTGACAACCACATCGGAGCCGTCCAGGACACATGAAAAATGTTCTGAAGAACCTGAGGGCCCTGCCTGGAATTGTTTATGAGCTCTCTCGGATGTTCTGAAACCCTTCGAAGAAACAGCGAATATGGCACAACATATTAAAGCATTGCCAGAATTATCCAGGCGACGGACCCGACCAAATGCAGTTATGAGTACCGCGATTGTGAGTATCTTCTCCGGTGGTGCCCACGAACCGTACGAGGGGCGTGCCGGAATGTGGCCGGGTACACGACGCGAAGGAAACAGATTGGTCGAATTACGAGAGACTGAGCGCGGGTGAATATGGGAACGAATGAGTCTAAGTGTGAATGAGTCTGCGCGCGATCAAATATATTTGCACGAGTGCGATCATTGCTACGCCTCGTGTGAATGCATATGAATGTGAATGGTTCGGGCATGCCTGTCTGTGCACTCGTGGCACTGAGCGTGGCAGCCGCAGGAAACTTCCACGGGGGCCCTAGCGGCGGCGCCCCCGCGCCGCGACGCCCATGTCGGCGCGCCCCTCGCGAAGATCGCGCCCGCTTCCTTCCCTTCTTTTTGCCCCTTCTTTGCCCGCGCGCTCCAAAATCCAAAGCCGCGGGCGCAGCGCGGCGCGGAGTCCCCGCGACGCGCGCCGGTCGCCCTGGAAGGGCCACGGCGACGCGCGCGGGTCGTCTGCTGCGCGGAGCAAACAGAGCTAGGCTAGCAGCTGGCTGATAGCGGGCAAGGCTCTGGCCGCTGGGCAGACCGACGAGGGGCGGGCGAGGCGCAGGCAAAAACGCAGCGCGGAGTTCCCGCGACGCGCGCTGGTCGCCCGGGGAAGGTCCCAGCGACGCGCGCGGGTCGTCCGCGGCGCGAGGCCAAACAATTAGTTGGGCAGACGAAAGAAGGCGCGACTCGGGGGGGGGGGGCGCTCCTCAGGTCAGGCCTCGCGGATAAACTCGGTGAAGCCGAGCTCCCTGGCGAGGGCCGTCGCCTCCCTCCTGCGCCGCTTCGTGCGCGCCGCAAACTGCTCCAGCTGCTTCCGCAAGCCCTCTGGCGGCCCTGCCAGGAAGAACTCGATGCGCGGCGCCCGCGCGAGCAGGAGGTCCTCGTGGCGCGTGGCGCGCGAGAGCAGCACATGGAGCTCCAACACCAGTCGTCGTCCTTCTTCTTGCCGTTCCCGGCCTCGTGGCGGCCGCAGTCCAGGATCACGCCTGGGCGACGTCGGCCGAGGGAGCAGCGCGCCGGACAGCCGACGGCCCAGGGCGACAGTCCACGGGACCGAGAGATGGTCCAGCTGCGGACCGCTCGCGCCCAGTAAGTTCGGCTGTAGGGTGTGCCGAAACGTGTGAGGGGTGTGCCGAAATGGGCGTGGGGGACGCATGCGGACGGTGGCACTGGGGCCTTCGGAGGAGCCCCCTTTATGAGGCCACGAAACGTGGGAGGGGTGCGCCGAAATTGGTGTGGTGGACGCATGCGGGCAGTGGCACTGGGTTCTTCGGTGGAGCCCCATGTAAAGCCACGGAACGTGTGAAGGGTGTGCCGAACTGGGTGTGGGGGGCGCATGCGGGCGGTGCCACTGGGGCCTCCGGTGGAACTCCGTATGGGGCCACGAACTGTGTGAAGGGTGTGCCGAATTGTGTGTGTGTGTGTGTGTTTGTGTGTGTGTGTGTGTATGTGTGTGTGTGTGTTTTTGTGTGTGTGTGTGTGTTTCTTGGGGGGGGGGGCGCATGGGGGCGGTGGCACTTGGGCCTTCGGTGGAGTTCCATATGGGGCCACGAAACGTGTGAAGCGTGTGCCGAAATGGGCGTGTGGGACGCATGCTGGCGGTGGCACTGGGGTTTTCGGTGGAACTCCATATGGGGCTACGAAACGTGTGAAGGGTGTGCCGAATTATGTGTGGGGGGCGCATGCGGGCGGTGGCACTGGGGCCTTCGGTGGAGCTCCATATGGGGCCACGAAACGTTTGAGCGGTGAGTGAGCCGAAATGGGTGTGGTGGACGCATGCGGGCGGTGGCAGTGGGGCCTTCGGTGGGACTCCCTATGATTCCACGGAACGTGTGAAGGGTGTGCCGAACTGGGTGTGTGTGTGGGGGGGGGCGCATGCGGGCGGTGCCACTGGGGCCTTCGGTGGAATTCCATATGAAGCCACGAAACGTGTGAGGGGTGCGCCGAATTGTGTGTGGGGGACGCATGCGGGCGGTGGCACTGGGGCCTTCGGTGGGACTCCCTGTGAGGTCACGAAACGGGTAAAGGGTGTGCCGACATGGGTGATGATGCTGGTGATGATGACGGTCCTGATGATGATGATGATGATGATGATGATGACGATGATGATGATGATGATGGCGCTGGTGGTGATGATGATTATGATGATGATAATGATGATGAAGGGAGGAAAAATGTTGATGATGACGGTGATGACGCTGGTGGTGATGAGTGATGATGATGACGATGATGGTGATGACGGGAGGAGAGAGGAAGGGGGAGGAGGAGGAGGAGGAGGAAGAGGAGAGGAGGAGAGGAACGCGGGGCGACGTCTCTTCAAAACGAGGACCCACCACCACAGGATGGTTGGGAATAATTAGCCTGGCGAGTGACCCAACCATATGCAGTTGTGAATGCCGTCGTTGTGAGTAGCGCATTCGGTGGTACTCTCTATGGGCCAAGAAACGCTGTCCTGGGTGGGGGAGACGCATGCGAACTGTGCCACTGGGACTTCGGTGGGGCTCTCCATGGGACTACGAAACGCTGTCCTGGGTGGGGGGGACGCATCTGCCCCCCCCACTGGGGCCTTCGGTGGAGCTCCCTATGGGGCCACGAAGCGCTGTCTTGGGCGTGGGGACGCATGTGCCCCCCCCCCCCCCCACACACACACACACTGGAACCTTCGGTGGAGCTCCCTATGGGGCCACGAAGCGCTGTCCTGGGCGTGGGGGGCGCATGTGCCCCCCCTCGCCCCCTCTGGGGCCTTCGGTGGAGCTCCCTGTGGGGCCACGAAACGCTGTCCTGGGCGTGGGGGACGCATGTGCCCCCCCCACTGGGGCCTTCGGTGGAGCTCCCTATGGCCTATGGGGCCATGAAGCGCTGTCCTGGGCGTGGGGGGCGCATGTCCCCCCCCCCCCACTGGGGCCTTCGGTGGAGCTCTCTAGGGGGCCACCAAACGCTGTACTGTGTGTGCCGAAGCAGAGACATGCGAAGAGCATAGGCCAGGAGGGGGAGGATAGGGGAGGAGGAGGAGGAAGGAGGAGGTGGGACGCGGGGCGCTGTCTCTTCAAAACGAGGACCCAACACCACAGGATGGTTGGGAACAAAGGTGCCAAACTCCCCGTGGAGAACAAGACGCCGAATAACTTTTCCGGGAAATAGCCCAGTGGCAGTCTCTCAAAATTCGGCGGAACTGCGTCGAATCTCCTGTGCCTCAAACTTCCGTCGAGGACGGCGTTCCAGGGACTATCTTGCGAATATATCCAGACTGCATTGGGAGTTGCACTGTCCATTTTGTAGACCTCGGGGGGAACTTCTTAGCGTTTCCTCCAGAACTGAAGGTAGCACCAATGGAGCGCATTCAGCCTTCCTCGAGGTATCCACTGGCCTTGTTTGGACTGTCTTGAGAACCACGTGCCATTCGACTTCTTCTAGAAATGCCAAACGTTTCCTGCACGCCTTGAAGTGCGTAGTTATACATTCTGACGCTCTCGTTCTGTGCTCAACCTGTCCTGCTGATCTCTGCTCCAGCGCTCATGGTATTTCTTCCCCAGATAACTTTTGCCTGACGGGGTCCTACTTGTTGTGTGAAGGAACAAGTGTGTGCGACGCCCAAACTCCGAGGAGGCGATCGGCGTTGCTCGGGTTCCTTGGTTCTGGCTCCTTGGTGCATTGCTCGGGTTCCTGGTCGTCGCTCGGGCTTCCTTCGTCAGAGGCGGCCCCCGGCGGTGCTCCGGGGTCCACGGCGCAATGCCACGCAATGCCAAGCAACTGTTCCAAGCAACCTTCCAAGTAATACCAAGCAACGCCAAGCAGTGGAAACAATGCCAAGCAACGATTGGACGCATTACTATACTCAGCAACACAAAGCAGCGCAAAGCAACGCCAAACAATACAAAACAATGCCAAGGAATGGCAAGCCGTGACACACAATAGTTTGCATTACATTGCTTGGAACTGCTTTGAATTGGTGTGGAAGGCGGAAGACCCCGAATGGGGATCAGGCTGTGTTCATGTAATCAGGTGCTCGACGTTCAGCACTCTGTGCAGCTCAGCCAGGCACTCTGAATGGCATGACGCCTCTCTGAAGCCATCTCCGTTCGTCACGACCTGCACACTTCCAGTTATTACACACCATGCTGCTTTCTAGAATGCAAAGCCCACTCTGAAAATTGAGCCCTCGCACCAAAGCCTACCACAGCTGACTACTGGATCGCCCCCCCATGCTCGAGCCAGGCCGGACCGAGTCAGCGAATTCGCGACCGAGGGCGTGGCCCTCAAGCCATCTCGATGATCGCATTCGCCTCCGCTAGCAGCGCTGCCTCCGAAGGCTGGTCCCCTCTGCACGCCCTGCCAAACATCGCCTCATAGTGCGGGCGCGCCCGGTCGAGCGCCTCGAAGTCGAAGAACGACACGGGCCGCGCCATGGCCACCACGTGCTGCATCCTGCGCGGAGACAGCCCGAGCGCGAACGTCAGATATCCGCACACGGCTGCCACGCTGCGGCCCACGCCCGCGTTGCAGTGGCTGTAGATCACGTGCCCCCTCTGCACAAGGCTCGCGAAGATGTGCGAGCCCTGGGGAAGCATCTGCGCACGCCCATCGGTGGACATGTCGAACGTCGGCATCCAAATGTACTCCATGCCGCGCGACTCGTACTCCCTGCTGACTGCCAGAGCGTCCTCCTCCATGCCTATCCCCTCGACGAAATTCCTGCGGCAATCCTCCTCGGTCTGGAAATTCACGACCACCGTGATACCGAGAGACTTCAGGTAATCGATGTGGCTCCGCTTCCGGGGGCACGAGCCAAGGAAAATCTGCCCGAGCACCTTCCGTACAGAGATCTCCTGGCGCTCCTTTCGGGTGGGTGGATGTTGGCAGGGGGCAACAAAAATGAGGCGATCGAGGGCAACAGAAAAATGGACCTGCAGGGGCCCAAAGCTGTGTGTTGACACATGTCCCTTGCCCAAGCTGTCCCCAACAACCCCAACCTTTCCGATGAGCCCCCACGGCCTTCAGTGAACCCCTCACGAGGCCCAAAGCCCCAGCAAGCTCCAAAATGGAGCGAAGAGCTGGGGCCACACACCCTGGGCCAGCAGCGCGGCACCAAGAGGTGCTGGTGCTGGAATAGTGTGCCTTGTCATGCGCGCCCCGTATGTTTCCCCCCCCCCCCCCCCCCGTTGCCGTCAGCACGGCGGCATGACATTGAACGCGGGAAGGCGCGCGCAGAAGGCGCCGTGAGGCGAAGAACCGAACTCACCACAAAAGGGGGCGGCGCGCAGGAGTTCACCATTCACAGCAAGGCGACTTGAGACAACGGCAACTCAAAATCTGTCCCGGTATCCCTCCAGGGATCCAAACGCACCAATTTTTCGAGCTGCGTCCAGCCGTCGCGACGAGCCCCCCCCAGGCAAACTAATTGTATGCTCCTGAGAATCACAGAGTGGGGATCGCAAAGTTCGGGGATCGGGGGGATAAATGTTATTTTTTCTCCCAACAACTCGCATGTATGATGATATGTTTGTACTTGGTTAGAAAGCTGACGTGGATAACATCGCATGGGCCTGCCACGCGTTCCAGACTTAGGAAAGCTGACATGATGAGATTCCCATGGCCCTGCCACACGTTCGTGACTAGGGAAAGCTGGCATGGTGAGAATCCCATAACCCTGCAACGCCGTCTTGAGTTAGGGAAGCTGAAATGGGGAGAATCACAAAGCCCTTCCACGCGTTCGTGATAGTGTTGTTCAGCCTCGCCGCCACTTCACGATAATGAAGTTCAGCCTCGCCGCCACTTTCCCCCGACCAACTCTGCTCCGGCCCGGGAGAACCAATTCTCAGGGGTTAAGGGGGGATGCGTTATCACCCGGGGTGTTCGGTCTGTGCTGTCTCAGTTCGCCCTCCTCTGAACCATGGAGGGGAAGACGCGTTCCTCCCCGTTGCTTTGGACGCCCGAAATGGGTACGGAAAGAATTCGCCGGCCCAACGGGCCAGAGGCGTGCTAAGATCTCCGGTGACTGCTTTACAATATTCTTCTTCGCGCGCGCGGAGCGGCCCCTGGGGGTCTCCCCACGAAAAGTACCCCGGCAGGGTCCCGGGAGACTCCCGGGAGGGTCCCGGGAGGTTCCCGTCAGAGATGTTCTCCCTCCTGGGTGCCGCCCTCGAGGTCCTCCAGAGAGCCTCCATACGCCCCAAAACGCCCCCAAGATGCTACAAGAGGGCTCCGAGATGCCACAAGATCGCTCCAAGACGCTCCATATGGCCCCCAAACGCCCCAGGAGGCCTCCAAGAGCACTCCCAAGAGGGCCCCAATAGGCAAAATTCATTGCTTTTCCTTAGGTTTTGGTGAGATTTGGGTATTCCCACCCTTTCCGCTTTCCAACGCCCGACGACGGCCCAAGAGGCCCCCAAGACCGCTTCAAGATGGCCCAAGAGCCCCCCACAAGGGCCTTACGACGAGCCAAGATGGCCCCAAAACGGCCCCAGAGGGCCCCAAGACGGCCCAAGAGGGCCCCAAGAACGCCCCAAGAGCGGCCCCAGGGGGGGAACACGACACAACATGTCCAGCCCTCGGCCCTAAGAAGCCCCCAGGAGGACCCCAGAGGCCCCTGAGAGGTCCCAAGAGGCCCCCCCAGAAGCCCTCAGGAGACCCCCCAAATGCCACCCCCCAGCACGCAAGCAAGCGAAACAACATGTCCAGCCTTCGCCCCTACGAAGCCCCCAGGAGAACCCCAGAGGCCCCTGAGAGGTCCCAGGAGGCACCCCAGAAGCCTTCACGAGAGCCCCAAATGCCACCCCCCAGCACGCAAGCAAGCAAACCAACATGTCCAGCCGTCGGCCCCAAGAAGCCCCCAAGAGCTCCATTCAACGCCTGCCACCGTCCGACACGACAAAAGCGGCGCAACCTGAGTCCCCCGCCCCCTGCAGTTCCGCACTGCCGACGGCCACTCGGCCAGTCAACGGCGGTGCGCGATATGGGCCGGCGGAATGAGCGAAGCGATTAAATCAGTACAATGCACGACAACAAATGTTGTCCCAAACCAGCAGCGGCCGCTGTTGGGCAGGCGGCCTTCTGCCCCGAAGAGACGCAGACCGCGGCGGCGTGGACAGCGAATCCTGTTCAAAATGAACAGGAGCTGCTGTTGGGCATTGTGCCCATTCTTTCCGTACCCATTTCGGGCGTCCAGAGTTGCCGTCCGCCCAGTCCTTTCGGGAGCGGCCAAGAGGGGGGGGGTGCAAAGCATGACCAGCGGCATGTGCGCGGCCCAGCGGGGAGGCCAGGGATGTAATGAAACAAGAAGAGGCGCCATGAAACCTGGGGAAATATCATGGCCCCCGCCATGATATCCCCCCCACCCACCCTATAGCATCACCCCCCTCTCAGGCCGCCCCCGATCCTTGACGCCCGAGTAGAAGCGCCCGGTGTGGTCGCTCTCGGAGCCGCCCGCGAAGCGCTCCACGGGCAGCAGCAGCGGCCCCGCGGCCCCGTCGGGCGGGGGCCTCTCGTCGAGCTGCAGCACCCGGTTGCCGCCGTCGCCCAGCTGCTCCCACCTGACACGGCGGGTCCCGGACCGGGGCTCCAGGTTAGGCTGAAGGGGCCCGAGTAAATACACACAAATAAAAGTATTCCCAATATTTTCCAATCTTTTCTGGGTTTTCGTCTTTTCCCCCTGTGTGTTTCTTTCCCTCCCGACAGGCCGTCGGACGATTCTCGTAGACTACCAAGCAGCTGGAACACAACCACACACACACACACACACGGATGGAATCACATGTGCTCAGAGGAGGGAAAGGAACCCATACCTCTACCCTTCGCCCGTTTTCCCCTCTTTGCGCCTCCTGGGGGGCCCTCGTCGCCACCGCTGGATTCGCCTCGAAATCCTGGTCAGAACGCACCTCAGGAGAGATCCCGGGAGTAGCGGTATCAGTACCTTTTGGTTTCCCCATGTGCAGAGTCCGGAGGTCACACGCGGAACACCAATGTGGAAGCCTGGCCTACTCGCTGGTACATCTGCCCAAAAGCGTATCCAGCTCTCCCCCAGACCTGCCGCGCCATGCGGATCCAGCTTCCCTGTGAGTTCCTGGAGGCTCCCCACCAAGCCTGGGGCCGCCCAACAGCAGCGCCCGAGACACGAGTTATGGTCCGAAGGCCACCAGGAGGATGAGGAGGAGGATGAGGAGGAGGGATGGAGGCGAAAGAATCGAGGATCGATGGGCATCTGAAAGTTATTCGCCCTTTTAGGGCCTCCTGTGTTGCGCGTTGATTTCGGACACCGCCTGGATCGTCCAAGCTTGAACGGTCGCGGCTGTTCGAATACCCTGGATCTTTCGATATCGGCCGATTCCAGAACACCAACGGCGTTCAACCTGGAACGTCGCTGGCTGGGCAAACTGGAACGATCTCCGCTCTCAAAAAGTCCCGTCCCTATCAGCTGTGGACCCGGGCCCCAGCCCAGCCCCCCAATGGTGCTCAAACTTATAGCCCGCCGCCTCCCAGGAAGAATCAAACATGTCCAGATCGTACTCCGCCCAACAGCCGCTGCAACGACGCATTTCTAAGCGAAGCACCCACGACCCAAAGGGGTCGGCAGTGCGGCGTAGCCTAATACATACGTATCTATATATGATGTTCACGGTCCACGTGCCCAACAGCGGGCCTCCAGTGGCCCACGCCGAAGGAGCAAAAACACCCATCACGACATGTTGTTTGACGCCTGGGGGCGCAGGTCCTGGGCACCAAGACGCCCATAGAAGGCAGACACCATCAAGGAACATCCCCAAATCTCCTCCGTCAGTCCTTCAGGGGTGGGCAACAACTGCTATGAGTCAAGCACCCTTCAGTGAAAATGGCCCATGGACAAAAGCCCGCGGGCGGAGGATCGCGAACAATGGCGGCGGCATAACCCACCTCTCGTGGAGCCAGAAAACGAAACCAACGGGCGGACTCGCTGATCGCACTGGCAAAATGTGGCGTCTGGCCACCCCCTGGCCACGCCGAAACTCCCCTCACATCACCCGTGTCCGCCCCCGCTGGCTTGAGGGGCACAGTTGGGGGGACTAGCTCAGCGCGGGGGGAGACATCGAGCTTGAATCGGCGATGCATCGCCGATACATCGCGACAGGCCCCCGATAGCACATCCGCACGTTCCCAGGCGGGGTGGGGTTAGCGGGACCCTGGCGGCGATGAGAGAGCGACTGTGGGCAGATACATCCTTCCCGAACCTATCCCCAACTAGCAATGCCCTCTGCCTTTCGGGTCCTAACTCGGTTCTCCGGAGGCGTTTCGGGACGATCCGGGCACCCCAGGAACGCCCTCGGCGAGGCGCAGCCGCCAGAGAACCCCACGAGGCTGGAAAGCCGCCGAGAGCCAACGAAAACACACACACCACCAACAACAACAACAACAACAACAACAACAACAGCAGCAACAGCAACAACAACAACAACAACAATCATTTTACCCGAACGCGTGGTGTTCTCCCCAGTGCCAGGGTTTTCATACGACACCAGGCAATACCCCCACTTCGTGGGGGGGCATTACAAGCTCTACCAAATATCCAAACGACTCTTCGCCACCACCCAACCCAGCTTCCCGCCCTATGACGTTCGGACACTTCACTTCGTGGCATGCGGACGACCGTGGCTACTATTCAGGGCCCCGCGGCCGACGACGACGGCGTGCGCGCGCGAAGAAAAAACGAATGTGTCCCGCATGGTATTATTTGACAGGGATGATGGCCCTGGCAGGTGCGCAACCGTTGTCGCAGAAGTTCGAAAAAGTTGCTCGCAAAAGCCCGTTTGACAGAAATGTTTAAAAAGTGTTGGGTTTCCTACGAATCCGCAAGAGCGCGCGGGATGAGATTTTGACATTTTTTTGTTGAAAAACCATTGGTTTTTTGATGTTTTTATGTTAAAATCGCTCCGAACACTAAGCTTTTGGAAGGATTTCGTCTTGCGCGCGCGAATGTCCACTTTACCTTATTTTTTGCAAGGGATTCTTGAAATTTGATTATATTAGAACAAGAAATGTCATTTTATAGTGTTTTTTGCAAGGGAAAGCGGGGGGGAACAAAACAACCGGATCTTGATCACATCGAATTACCTGAGGCTTCCTCACGAAAATGATGAAAATGTAGCTGCGGCCTAGGCGGCGCAGGGGGGCCGTGCACCAGGGGTCCCAACAATAATTATTCTTTAGAATTAATAATGTTCAACAACAACAACAAGAACAACAACAACAACAACAACAACAACAAGGTTAAGGCCGGCATGGCCCCCCCGGGGTGCGGGAGCGGATCCGCCGGTTCCACCACAGTGGAGAAGGCCGGCACTGCCCCCCCGGTCAGTCCGAAGGGGGGGGGGGGGGGGCGAACAACACAACACAACATCCTAGGGCATCCTTAGGGAATCCTTAGGGAATCCCTAGGGAATCCTAGGGAATCCTTAGGGAATCCTTAGGGAATCCTTAGGGAATCCTTTAAAATCCGTAGGGGGTCCTGAGGGAATCCTTCAGAATCCCGAGGGACTCCTGGAGGAATCCTTAGGGAATCCTTCAGAATCCCTAAGGAAGCCTGGGAATCCTTCAGAATCCCTAGGGGCTCCTTAGGGAATCCTTAAGCATCCCTTGGGCATCCTTCAGGAATCCTTAAGAATCCATGCGAAGTCCTCCGGGAATCCTCAAGAATCCCTAAATAATCTTTCAGAACCCCTAGGGAATCCTTAAGACTCGCTGGGGAATCCCTAGGGACTCCTTAAGCATCCCTGAGGAAGCCTTAAGAATCCCGAAGGAATCCTTCAACATCCCAAAAGGAATTCCGAAGGAATCCTTCAGACTGCCTAAGGAATTCTTAAGAATCCTTAGGAAATCCCTCGGGGATCCTTCAGAATCCTCGAGAAATCCTTACGAATCCCTAAGGAATCCTTGAGATTCCCTAAGGAGTCCCTCGGAAATCCTTAAGAATCCTTAAGGAAGCCTTTGGGAATCCTGACGGAATCCTTACGGAATCCTTAAGGAATCATCAAGAATCCCTAAGGGATCCTCCGGGAATCCTCCGGGAATCCTTCAGAATCCGTAATGAATCCCTCGGGAATCCTTAAAAACCCCTAGGGCATCCTTCAGAATCCCTACGGAATCCTCA